AAGCATTCCTCTCAAAACAAATATTCCAAATCCTTCAACTCCCACCCCCCCCCCCCCAAAAAAAAAAAAACATCCATCCAAACAGACCCTAAGGTTCCTTTTGGTAGGAGGGTTTCGGAGAGGTTGGGTTATGGAGGGCAGAGTCTATCTTAAGATATATTTGACATTGTACAAAAAGTGAAGGAATAACATAATCAGTGATCATACACAACCAACATCCAAGCCTTAGTCCTAAAAGAACTTGTTGTCGGCATCTGTCCATAATAAGTGATCGTATAACATCTCAAATTTTCGTCATCCTTTATTCATCTTATGAACATTCTATTCCATCTGTTCTAAATAAAAAACATGTATGAGTAAGGTACAAGATTTATTTTTAGTCCATTGCATCAACTATACTTTTACAACTTACGAATGATCATCTATACACCTAAATTTATTTCTATGATTGTTTGCAGTGGTTGACTATAATTGTATGCCGCAGCCTTTACAGGAGTTTTACTTACAAATGAAGTTGATTTTTTGAAATGTACTCTTTAAATGGGATAAAAGAATCTCTTGAAGCAGGACTCTCTTTATAGAGCCAGATGGAGTATATATGAGGATATAGATTAATCCCTTGAAAGTCTTCCCTCCAAAGCTCTCTACTGACTCAACAATATCAAGGGATGGTACCTGGTGTTTTTCCTTCCATCTGGGGACAAAGCCATTCCCTAACAGCTGGAATATGTGATCCCTCATCTCATCATTAGAGACCAGCAAACACTTGCAACTCACCGCAGCATATAACCAATACCTGTAGAAGTATTTTTAGTGATGCTGTTGATTTTAAAATCATATTCACAGATAATGGACCTGTAATTGTAATTACGAAGCTGCCCACCACTGGTAGAAATCATTATTAACATTTTTCCAAAATCACACAAGTCACCTGCATTTTAAACTCATACTTGATACATTCCGATTAAGTTTATTTCAAGTTTAGTGATACTCCCTAAGTCCCAAAATAGAGTCTTGTTTAGTCAAGTGACAACTTTCTAATTTTGGCAATGAACAACTGTTGAAATTTGGAAGCCAAAAAGTAATATTTATAGATTTTTTAGTTTTCTGTGCGTCAGTGCGTGTATTACACATTATTTCTGCAAGTTATAGGATGCTTTAGTTGGGATAGTTAAATTCGATACATGACTTCCTTTTTGCAAGGGTAAATGATATAGCTCGCACTAGTGCGAGCTATATCATTACCCCTACAGAAAAAGCAAGTATTGATTCAAAATTTTCTTGTTCTTAAGAGTTGAAGTCTATGAGCTAGTACTTTGTAGAAAAAGGTAACATTATGCATTAATTATTTCCTAAATATTGAATGATGATGATATGGACGAACATTGTTCACGGTTGTGAATGTCTACTGTCTAGTAAAGAACAAAGGCAGACACATGCATATTTATAGGAGAATTCAATAGAAAACATATATCAGAATAAGTATAGAGAGATAAAAGCTTCATTAAAGAATATTACCAATCATCACATGAACCCTGCGGAGTGGCATAAAGAGCACCAGCACTTCTCCAGCTTTCCAATAACTTCTTGTTCCTAGGATGCACAGCAGGTCCTCCCGTTACACGACTTGTGTGCAATATAACAAGTGGCAGCTTCTTTGATTTGCTTCTTTTATGTAACTCATTGACAACAGATTTGAGCTAATGAAAAAAGGACACAATAGTTAAGTGGAAAATCATATTGCCATCCAAATTCTAGGATGGGTCTGTATATCATTTTTTTGACCTATTTTTGAATATATAACTGCATCCCATCCCAGGGAACTCTTGGGGTCTGAAGAACTAGGGAAATGCCAGGGAAATAAAAAAAAAAGCAGGAAAAACATAGAGGGCATTAGATAGAGAAAATATGAAGGAGTTTGGCACTCAATAAGTTTATCTTGGATATTCATTGATACTCATTTTATTCTGTCTACCATAAAAAGACTATAAATCTAAATGTATGCAAAATTTTAGAAAACCTAAAAATATGCTAGCTTCATCTCAATAAGTTTGGGATGGGGTTCGGCACAAATATTATGGAAAATAGGAATTTGTGGTTGGTTTTGAATTTGTAAAAGAATGATTGTGAGCCACAAAATATGGGTAAATTCAGTATGAGACAAACATTTAGGGAGGCCTAAAATGGAATGATAGGGAAAACAAAATGGGATTGAGGGAGTATCATATTTCTTAGCATTTTCCAAGATAAAACCAAGCATAAGAAAAATAATTCCTTGGCATTTGTTTACCCTATACCTATATTCCAGGGTCCAAACATACCCTTGATCCCATGGATAGGAAAGAGGGGTAATACGAAGAAACAAGTAGTGTGAAAAACAATTGTTCTCTACCTGTAAAAAACTGAAGTCTCGGTTATTAATGAGGCCAACATTTGCACCATCTACCACTGCATCAAATGGACCATTCCTCCTAAGCCACTCCTGAATGAAAAGTAGTTTTTATACTACAGATTAGGTTGTTTGTGGTGTTTCATGCAGAAAAACTCAATGATGACATATCAATGATGAAAATTCACTCTATTGTCTTGAAATCAAAGTCATTATCAACCAATAATTTTATGGCATTGCATGTGTGTTTAGCAAGAAAATCAATTATATCTATAAGAAAGGCAGGTATAATGATATTGCTATTACATTTTAATCCTTACAAACAACATCCAAGCCTTAATCCCAAAAGATTTACATTTTAATCCTTCAAAAACAAAAATCAAACACGGCATTAAACAAATACATGAGTGGCCTAGATCGGAAGCATATATGATGTGGGAGGGAATAGGGACAAACAGTTACCCGTATTTAACAGGATGGAGGGATTGTAACACTCTCCATTTTGTTCTTGTTTTCATTCTCATCCATACAAAAAGAAAGTCTGCATATAAAATTTCATCACATGACCAAGAGGTCACGGGGTCAAGTCTTGGGAGTGACCTCTTGTCAAAATGACAAGGGAAAGCTTGCTCCTTACACACCCTTGTGGTGGGAACCTTCCCGGGACCCTCGCCTTGCAGGGATGCCAATGTGCACCAGGGTGCTCTTTTAATTTTTTAATGTTTTATATAATGTCATGACAATCTTCCAACACAAAAGTTGTACAATTCTGAGGGGATAAAAAAGGCAAACATCTAAATACCTAGAACCCTAATAATTAAGTTTAAGTAGATAGCAACCACTTGAAGTGTATATACAGTAAACCATAATGATAAACTTCAACAGAAGATAAGTGAAAGTGAGTTCTTCTAAGAAAAACAATTAGTCAATTAGCCATACCTGAAAGTGATAAAATGAATTTTTGGCCTCCCTTTCAGAAGCCAACTTTGCCAATGAATTAGCGAAATTCTCAGTCTCGATCAAATCAATATCAATGCTTACAAGCTTTTCTCTACATGAATGGCACACGCCTCTCTCACCCATTTTAGTTCTCACAACTTCCCATTCTCCCTTACCCAACCAACCTTGCCCGTGCCACCCACCCCCACCCTTCAACACACCATTTTTCACCTTCTCCACATTCCACTTTTCTATCCCAACCCCTGCAGCAGTTTCTGACCTAAACCAATCTTCCACAATGGTAGCAGTGTTTTCCGACACTTGCCTAACAGACGCCCTTAACCTATGCATCAATTCATATACTTTCTCAACGCGTTTTGACTCACAACTCACCTTTAATAGAGCAGAAAGCTCTTCCTCTTCTGGGACTAACCCTGATTCTAGCATATGGCAATCGACTTCATAAGCCTCATCTGGCATTCCTTTCTTGCAAAAGCCAAACAAGGCTGGTCCATACGACCTCAGCTTAGGAGGAATACAAGAATCCTTCATTTGTTTCACCAAATCAAAAGCCAAAACAGGGTCTTCCTTAGCTGCAGCTAACCTTGCAACATTAGTGAACGTACCCTCATTTGGAAGAATGTTCTTCAACCCCATTATCCTAAAAATATTAAAACCCTCCTGAATGCCGAATTCTTTGGATTCTGCATCATCTTTAGAACTCCAAACCGAACACAAATAGAGCAAAGAATTATAATGGTTTACATTTAATTCAACTCCATTCAACTTGGCTTCGTGATAAAGGCGCAGAGCTTCTTTCAAGTCACCACTTTTTGAGCAACGCTGTAGTTTAAACCGAAGAACATTTCCAGGAGCTTCACGCCGGGCCTTTTTTGACATCTTTTTGGAAGAGGTTATTGTATCTTCTTCTTGGATAAGATGCAAGACTGTAGAGAAATGGTTCGGTCTGTTCAAGGAGGATTGAATTGCCCGCCAGGCTTCAGCATTACCAAGCTTAAGGGGAATATGAGCCAAGATTTTGGAATGAGGAGAGAATAACAATGAGGGTTTCGATAGGGAAGGTAAGAAATAGTACATGCGTCGAAGCAGCATGTATGGTTATCTTTACATCAGTTATTACTTTCTGCAAAAAAGGGAAAACCCCAAATCTACCAATCTATCTATCTTCTGTATAAAAGAAAAAGAATTGTTCCAAATGAAGTTGCCTCACAAAGAGATGCAGTGTGAGTTGTGCACCTTAGCACAGTAGAGAAATTTACAAAACTTACCTGACTCCCCAGTGCCAAGCCCGAGAGAGAGGCAGAGAGATTGCCGACTTAGAATGGGGGGCAGGAGGCTGTGGAGCAGGGCACAGCAGGCGACTGGCCGGAATGGGAGTCTTGGGCTGTCGGCGACGCCAGCCGACGCTGAGCAGTTCAGCGAGTTAAAAAAAAGATGTTTTTTTCTTTGCAAGAAAAAAGATTTCGTTTAGGAGCTGATTACCCCTAAACGAAATGATTTGTTGTCCAAAAAATACGGCAACTGCATTTCCGGATGATACTCATGGAGAAGGGTATAATTGTCCAAAAAATGATTTGTTGGGTGCGCCAAGATAATCCTTTTCGTTTTAATTCCTTAAAAATATTAAAACTTTTGAGGTTTTAATTCCTGAAAAAAAGATGTCGTTTTGATTTCCTTCACACCTCAACTCTCACTTAGCAGCACAACAATCCTGCAGCCCTGGCCGGTCGGAGCTTGCTCCTCCACCTCGCAAGACGCCAGTGGCGAGTCCTTGCAGCGTCTCCACCAGGGGCGGAGGGACGGGGCCTGGTCCAAGGGCAATTAGAGTCAGTCCCAGTCCAAAATAATCTTGCCCGGTTTGTACCAGAATTCCCAAACCCAGGAAACTTCTTCTTCTTCTTCTCCTTCGGTTCTTCACTCTCCCGGGTTCTGTGAAATACCCTCATTGCTTAGCAATTCAATATTGCAACCATATGTTATTTTGGTTAGGCTTGTGTGCTTGGATTAATGAATTAAAAATTAGGGTTCAACGGTTTATTGATGACTTATTGTGCGGTGTTCTTGAATATGTAGTCCTGAATTTCACAATAGTCAAGGTCATGAAACAAGAAGTTATGAAGAATATTGAAAGATGGAGGATCCATGAAGGGCCATCGCTGCATTTCCTGGTATGCAGTTTACAATTTGCCGAATTGTATAATACGATCACATCATCTCCTATCACTAGATTATTACTTATAAAATTCACCATCCTATTATCCCACTGATAACATGTAGATTTAGTTCAATCACCTACACATTTTTATTTGAAAATAAACTTTTTTTCGAACAACGTGACTCACTGAGGTTGTTGGGACTTGAAAAATAACAAGGAACAACTTGACTCATTTAGTTTACAGACCTAGCTGCTCCCAGCTTGCTCCTCCACCTCACAAGACGCCAGCGACAAGTCCCTGTCACTGTCTTCGACTCTTCGCATTGTTGGCTATTGCAGTGTCTCCACTCGCTGTTAATTTTAGGTCTCCGAGGCTCCGAAGTTCGATATCGGGTCCTTTGTCTTGCTATCCTAGCAACCTCGCTCACTTGCTCCTGTGGCCAGCCTCCAAACCTCGCTCTAGCATCCCGATCTCTTGAACTCCTGGTTAGTCCATCCTCACAGGCTTGCCTTATTTAGCAATTACGACTGGATTTATTTTAAGCCTAATCTGGAAATTGTATCGATTCAAATTCCCATTGTTTGCCTAATTGCCTTTCGGTTGATTGAGTTAATTGAGAATCCAGATTGGGGAGATGTTGGGAGATCTATTTTTAGGTAAATATGTGGGTAGTGGATTTCGGTTGGTGAATCTTTGATTCTATACAAATTATTGAATTAAAGGTCGGCCCTTTTAGCTATTTATGCTTGAATAATTTTCATTAAAAGGAGAGGAAGGAAATAAGGAATTAGAGGAGAAATGAGTATGAGTATGAGTGATGCTTAATTTGAGTGCTCTTTAAGATCACCTCAATATATTAGTCCATCTCTTTTAGATACCAGGATACTTAATCTGTATTATAGTTTGTTGTTTTATGAAGATTTGTATGGTTGTTTGCTTAATTTATTTGTATAATTGCAATGGTTTGTTGAATTGTTGAAGACAAGTCTACTTTATATTTGAAATTCTTATTTAATATCAGTGTAATTATTTAGGCAGGTTTGGCATAAAGCAACATATAATAGAACAATTATAGTGATTTATTATATTTGATTAATACTGAGTATATAATTATATTATGCGTTGTTGTTTACTCAATACACTAGTTTTTTTATTGACAAATATACAATTGTAGAATTGTGGCATCACATAATATCATTGTTCTTAATTTTTATAGTAAAGTAATTCTGAACACTTAAAATGCAGGTGTGCTAGATCCGCCACTGCGGGCAATGAGGTCTGTATGGAAGAGAAAAAATTTCAGAAGTGTTATTTCAATTCGAGTCAAACCATTCTCTGCACTTGCGCAGCTGAGCTATATCTCAGATTATTCTAGTTCTGATGGAGAAAATTCAAACAGTAATTTCACCACTTCTGATTTAGCCCAAGATTGTTCTGAAGTAAGCTCGTATGGGGCTGCAGAAATGCTTTACAAACTAAGAAACAAACCAATTTCTGCATTATCATACTTCCGGAAAATGAAGGATCGTGGGTTGAAGTGCAATGTTGATACCTTCGTGGCAATCATTCATATACTTTGTCATTGGGGTATGGATATGAGATTAGATTCTATATTGTTGGAGGTGATAAAAGCAGATAATGACAGTTTGGGTTTCGATATGGCAGAATTGCTTGAGGCATTGATGGAAGATCTCTATGGTGAGAGCCCTGATTCTATAATTCGGACCCTAGATGCACTGGTCAAGGCTTATGTGAGTTTGGGCATGTTTGATGAGGCCATTAATATCATTTTTACTAGGAGACGTGGTTTTAGTCCACGATTACTGTCTTGTAATTTTTTGATGAACAGACTTGTTGAGTATGGGAAAGTGGATATGGCTGTGGCTGTTTATAAGCAATTGAAGAGGCTTGGGTTTAACCCAAATGTTTACACATACGGAATTGTGATTAAAGCCCTTTGTAAAAATGGGAATTTGGAAGAAGCATCTAGTATTTTGGGGGAAATGGAGGAATTGGGTGTAATTCCTAATGAATTCACTTATTCTGCGTATCTCAACGGCCTTTGCTTGCACGGCCACTCATCTTTGGCTTATGTAGTGTTACAAGAATGGAAAAAGATGGGTGTACCCCTCAATGCATTTCCTTTTACTGTCGTTGTTCGTGGATTAGTCAAAGAAAGGAAGTTTTCAGAAGCACAGTCTCTTTTACTCGATATGGAAGAACAAGGTCTTGTCCCTGATGATTATACTCACGGGGTGCTAATTCATGCTTATTGCAAGGCAGGGAAAATCACTAATGCTTTGGATGTCCATAATGAGATGACTAGAAAGGGCATTAAAACTAATTGTGTGATTGTTAGCTCTATTCTTCAGTGTTTGTGCCAGAACGGGATGACATCTGAGGTTGTTGAACAATTCAACATTTTTAAGGAGCTTGGAGTTTTTCTTGATGAGGTTGTTTATAATGTTGCAATTGATGCACTATGCAAGCTGGGAAAGTTCAAAGAGGCTTTGAAGTTGTTAGACGAGATGAAGGATAAGCGGATGACACCAGACATTGTGCACTACTGCACTTTAATGAATGGTTATTGCCGAAGCGGACAATTATTGGACGCATTTTCATTATTTAGTGAAATTAAGGAAAAAGGACCGGAACCAGATGTGGTTACATATAATGTGCTTCTAGGCGGGCTTTCCAGAAATGGTTTGGTTCAAGAGACACTTAGCCTATTGGATTATATGAAGGAACAAGGTTTAACACCGACCACTGTTACATATAATGTCATTATTGAGGGTCTTTGCGTGGGACATATGGTGAAGGAAGCTGAATTATTTTTTGATAATCTTGAGTGTAAAACCATAGAAAACTGTGCTGCCATGATAAATGGATATTGTCGGTCAGGGAATACAAGTAAAGCTTACAAGCTCTTTCTAATGCTGTCCAAACAAGGTATGTCTATAAGGAGGAGTTCTGGCATGAAACTAATGACTGCCCTTTGTGTGGAAGGTGAATACAATCAGGCTCTAGGTATATTTGAGATAGTACTATCTTCTTCAAGCAATGCCCCGTGTATGTCGATGTACAACCATATAATAGCCGCTTTATGTCGTGCTGGGGAGATGAAGAAAGCTAGGTTGGTGTTTGATAATATGTTGTGGAGAGGGTTAACTCCCGATGTAATTATTTATACCATGATGTTGAATGGTTATTGTAAAGTTAACTGCTTACAGGAGGCACACAATCTTTTTGAGAGCATGATAAGTAGGGGAATATTTCCAGATGTGGTCACGTACACAGTTATGCTTGATGGTCATTCTAAGGGTTTAACAGGGACAGGGTCATCTTTCCATGCAGGGGGATGGAACAAAACTGATAAAACGGTTCATGCTCTTCAGCGTGAAATGAAGGAGATGGGGTTGACCGCTGATGTAATATGCTACACCGCTTTGATCGACAGTCATTGCAAATCTGATAGCCTTGAAGAGGCTATTCAGTTATTCAATGAGATGATTGATAGAGGTGTAGAACCTGATAATGTTACATACACTGCCCTCCTGTGTGGATTTTATAGGCATGGGCGTATAGAGAAGGCTGCCAGTCTCGTGAATGAGATGATGGATAAGGGAATAGAACCTGATAATCATATGATGGCATTATGCAGTGGCTTGTTCAAGGCCAGAAGAGTACGAATTAAGGGTAAAACGTGAGGGTCTCCTGTGTAAGTCTACAAGTACGGTATCATTTCTCATCAATGGCAATAATAGATAAAGTTTTTTTTTCATGTATTGTATTTGTATTTATAAATTTATTTGTTGGCTTAACTGAATATATCATATTTATATTAACTTGTTTGTAATTTTTTTGACCATCTTTTGGTAAATAAAATGAAAATTTAGCTTCATTTGATAAAAATGGACTCTTGTTTGGGACAAAAAACTTTTTTGGTGGGACAATAGTGCTTTCGAAACATGATTTTTTGGGATGGAGCCATGGAGTGCTTGATTTTCTTAGCGACAGTGCTTCTATGATTCTGAACTGTTTTAGTTTTATGTCAGATCTTGCTAGTTGTGAAAAACGTTCAATGACATATGCTTCGAAGTTGTGTCATCCCATTACTGAATGCATCATTACACTCTAGTCTGTCTATTGAATTATCGGGCTAGAAGGGATGAGGGAGTTATCAACATTCATGGAGTATGCAATTAGTGGTGCTCAATGGGCGTGTCAACAGCATGGCGTGTCTCCTCTATCGTTTCCTCTATCGCTGGGGCGCTTAGTATGGGTATGGATGAGCTACTTGCCAGCCAGGAGACTCAAAGACAGGTGAAGTCAGGTCTCTTTCGAGTGGGTGTATGCTATGTAGAGCACTGCAGCCACTTACTCCCATCACTCTCTTGTAACTGTCGTTTTACAGTTTTTTTATATTTCAAATAACCTTCGGTTTAGAGATTTAAAGATTTTATTTGTTTATCATTTTTCACCATTACCCTTATTTAGGGGTGGGAATAGGCCAGGCGGTCTGTCAAGGGCCCGTGGCCTGGCCTGGCCTGTTTAATAAACAAGCAAGGCTTGGGCTTTTCAAAAAGCCCCTTTGGGTAAACAGGTCAGACTTAGCCCAGCTCTAAAGCCTTTTTAGCTTAACAGGCCGGCCTATTTATATGTGTATATATATATATATGTTTGTATATATATTTATTTGTATTTATTTTGTATTATTTATATTATTATACTTAACTATAACAAATTAGGCCCCGACATTTACCGCACCAAAGCGGTGTTTCATTTCGGGAATAAAAAAAAAAATTAGGCATAAAAGTGTTTTTGATGGAGCACGTAATATAATATTATAAATTAGAATACTATTTCTATTAAATATATAAAATGTGTTAATAAGTTATTAGGATATTTGATATTTAAAGTTTTTTAAGATTTGAAATACAAAAAAAAATTATAAGCTACGTTGCTAACGTCTTATTAGTCATTCAAAGCAAAACTAACATATAATTAGACTTTTTAGTGAATATTTGGGAAGATAAACTTTATACCGATTTAATAATATTTTCACTTTTTATTTTGAATTTTTATGAACTTGATATTTTTTTCTAAACAGGCCAGGCTCAGGCCAAAAAAAACAGGCCTTTAACAGGTAACAAGCCAGACTCAGGCCTATATATTCTAAAACAGGTCCGGCCTGTTTAGGAAAAAGCCTGGCCTGCCCTGTTTTCACCCTTACCCTTATTCATCCATTAATGCTACATATTCTCCACGTTTCTATATTTGCGTAGTTTGACCAAATTATATGTTAGAAAAAGTATTGGGGGTCAGAAGTGAATCAAATTTTTATGGAGTAATACTTCACCCTACTATTTCCTTTTCAAAAGCCACCTTCTCATTTATATTCTTGGTGAAAGGGGGTAAGTTGAAGAGTTTATTAAGTGTAAAGTGGGAAAGAATATTTTATGGTCAATCTAGATAGATAAATAGGAATAGTAGTAGTATTTAAAACATTAATGAGGATAATAATCATATTTCACTATATTTACTTTGATTTTTGAAAAATCATTGCTTAATTAGCATACGCAAACAAATTAAACGACACCCACTAGAGAACATGTGCCGGGTGTCACCGTTAGCACATAACACATGCTTGGTTTTAACCATGTATTCTTTCAGCATTATGAAACTCTACTAGCTTATACAAGGAGTGAAAAGGAAATCTTAATATCTAAATCAGTAGCCAAGGCACTATTTTGAAAACATTCTATTTACAATCCAGAATTGAAATGGTGACACATACCCCATCTTTTATGTTCTAGATAAATTTAGGGCTAGATGATGATTTTAATCAGTTATTGTCGTTTTTGTGCAGATACCAAGATGCGTTGTTTTGATCTCAATTAAGCATATAACACATTTTAGCTGTTTAGAAGAAGAGAGGTCATTTTCTTCATTGCTAGTGGACTTCCTTACCATGTTGCTTGAGTTTGTGTTGCAATATCTTTTTATCATTTTGTTGTTCAGGGAAATGCTATTATTGCAGTCAAAGGATTTAAACACGCAGGTCCTTGAAAAGCAGGTAATTAGATAAGATCTCAGGCATTCCCACATTAAACCTCCTTCCTAGTGAACTTATACGTAAATGCAATGGCTTTCATTTTTCATTTTAGCCGACCCCAAAATCTTTTGGGAATAAGGCTTGGATGTTGTTGTTGTAGAGATATATAAATTTACATTGAAACCCAGAAAAGGCTTGCTAAGATGGGGATTTCTGATGGGAAGGTACAATTTTATCTAGAAGATCACTAATGCATGTAATAATGCCTGTAAGTTATTGACTGAGGATGTAACTTTGTTATCATTGGGTTTGGAAGTGGCCTTTTAATCTTAACAAGCCGAAGTGAATCAGACACTGTCCCATTGACCTCCACCAGACTGGCCGGGAGAACGCCCCCTCCTCTCATGAATCATGATCTGTTCTCATGGTAATCCGGCTTTTTTCCAAATTCAGGCTGTGCGTAATCTGCTGAGAAGGATGATGGCTCGTATTCTGCCTCCTCATCTAGGGCGATCGGCTAGAATGTGCGGTACTCTGTTGATCCTATGAAGCAGCCTGATTACGCTTGTAGAGATTCACTAACAACCACTCCAATGCCCGGGATGACACCAGCTATTTTTGGGTATGAATGTGCTTTCTTGCTGGGCTCACCAGCTGAGATGTCAGCTCTCCTCGTTTCCTTAGGCTCTACCTCTAGAGAGTATGGCGGACATCAAAGTCTCATTCTCATTCAACTGATCCTGAGTTCTCTATTCACTGTCCCACCGGGGGTTCCATCTTCCCCACTTTCGACATTCTCCTAAAAAATTCTTATAGGCTCTCTTTTGCTTTGCTTCTTAGGAGTTCGGTCCCTAGACTGAGTCATTGTCACGAGAATTTTTGAATTTTGGGAATTTCAGAATGAATAGAAACATATCTTGAATAGGAGCCAATGTTAAAATTTCGAAGGGATAACTCAAGTTGAACCCCCTAAATAATTGATAAAAGATTACAACTGAACAAATAACATATCAAAATAAGAATAGATTATGAACCAAATGAAGTGAGGATTAATTGATTAGTATTCTTCACAAATGAAAAGTTGCAGTCAGCTCAAGCGGGAGCTGGGTTAGTATTGGAGTCTTAACAGTTATTCTTTTTATTGCATCATCAATTAAAGGAATTTTATCAATACGATAGGTTAATTATCAATTAGGGACTTGGAAGATGAAAATTGTAGATATAGAGCCCGAATGATTGATAATTATCAATCTAAGACCTGCAATATAATATATTTATAGTTTTTATTTTAAATTTTTTAAATATTATTGAATTTATTAAACTAGTAAACTTTTGTGAAAAAAAGACATCAAAGGCTAGCAATTAAATAAAAAATAAGGAATCAAAATCTATTGTATTATAGGTCTTTGATGGATAGTTATCAATCTCTTGGGTCCTATATGGACAATTTTCATCTTTCATGTCCTTGTTTGATAGTTAACACATCTTCCAAGTCATGAATTGATAAATTTCTAATTTTAAAATGATTGGGATTATTTATTACAAAATATTAACTACTATTAGTGAAAACAATTGTTTGATAGCCGATTGTTGTACTTATTTGACCATACCACTACCTTTAATCTCCTTCTGCTGAACACGGTGCAATCTAACATATAGCTTCTTAGCTGATTGATCGGATTTAGAAAAAAAATATATCTTTTGACCACCCAGAATATACATTATTGTGGTTATATATACAAAGTTTTAGTACTCAAATTTTCCGTTTTCTATGACACAATCTTAAAGATTGTCATATTGTAATAAATAAATCTTTAACTATTTTTGCCTCCTGAATTTGTTATGCACTTTAGTATAGTCATTGTGTGAGCATAGACATTAATATAGAACCTCACTCCCACAACTAGTGTGTATAAGTTCATTGGTTAAGATAATTTTGTCTCCATGGTTGAATGAGGCCGTCATGAAAACTAGCTCATTTTAACCACGCATGCAACATTATCTAACTCAATGGACTTGATCACTTGTTGTAGTAGGAAAGCGGTTCTGTATTTAATGCTTGGCTCTATACAATAATCCTTATGAAGACTTTACCACTTCACTAATAAGTTTACTAGCCTGTCAAATCCAAGAGGCAAAGATTATTAAACAATTTATTAATTGTAATAAAAGAATCCTTAAGATTATGTCAAGTGAAGACAGAGAGTTTGAATGTTTTGATTTTGTCAAACTTTCAAATGACCAAAATAACGAGGGTTGTGGGCAGTTAGTGCACTCCATAGGAAACGTAGAGAATATCCCAAGTTACAGTGTTATACATTAGGAAAGGTGTCACATCCATTGAGAGATATAATAGGATGTGCTGGAAGGGCTATTAGTATCCTATCAGCAGGATTAAACCAAGCAAGTATTATTAGGTTACAATCACATAGATTAGTTCGTACAATTACCACTACAAATATGTTTTGCATAGTGTGCACTTTATCTTGTCCTGCTGATCCAAAGTTCAGGGTTTTGCCATTGGAATAATCTTCTTGCTTTAAGAGAATTGCAAATTCACAATTTATCATTAGACTCTTGTGTCGTCATTTATCATTCCATGTATTTGATGATGGTAGTTAATCAAATAAAAGTTTGATCTCAGTCTTGTACTTTTACATAGATATATACTAGTGTTATACTTATATGCTAGCATGGTATTATTTGTAATGGAGCCAAAGATTCATTATTTTTTGGCTTGATAATATGATGGAATAAAGCAAAATGGCTCACTAAACTGTCTGTTCTTCTTTGTTATGAAGCAGTAGTCAGTCCATGCAATTTTGGACGCGATTTGCACTATGGGTCATCCGGAAACAGTCCCTCTGTGCTTTAGTACAGGGGTAAGATTGCGTACATCCGACCCCCCCTTACTCCACCGTAGGTGAGAGCCTTTGCGGCACTAGGGTAAATGAAAATGATGGTAGCATGGTTCTCATTTCTTTTCCTGGTCTTATTAAATAAAGTTAATCGCATGTCAAATTATCTTATTTACTGCTTTCAAAACTTTTTTGACGTATAAACTTGTTGCTACACCCCACAACTACAGAATCGATACTATCATACTTTTTCCTATGGCAAAATGTTTGGATTAAATAGTCACTATTTTTACGTAAGGGAGAACTTTTAAATGATTCAACAATATTCTACTATTCAAAAGAATTAAATTTGTTGTAGAGAATCCATATCATCCAATTAGATGTCTTCAAGCACTGAGATTATATGCTTGCATATTGCTTGAATGATAACATTACTGAATGTCTTGTTATTGTCTATTGCATCACACTTGGATGAGGGGCTGAATTTCATTGCAGTTCAGAAGAGAAGGGATTTGTGATTTCTGTAATTCTCTGAATCAGTCATCTCCATTTACTTCAGAAAATTACCTTGGTTTTCTTGGGCATGAATAAATACTTGTAAGAAAATGTGTTTTTACCTCTTTTCTTACCTTTAGTTAAGTGGGCATCATACTCATGTGTTTTTGCACAGGAAATGTGCACTACAGCGATGAAAAAGAATGATACTAGGTCTTGCGCCTCGCGTGTTTTACAGAACAGGGGGTAAGATTTGCAATAAACACCGGTGCTGCATATAGCAATTACTCATTTACTCAACTGGGCATCATATACCTGTGTCATGGCACAGAAAACGTGCACTAACTGTGCTGGAAAAGTGGGGCTGGATCTTGCCGTCGTTGTGGGTTTTATAAAACAATCGGTAAGATTTGGAATGAATGGAACTGCATATAGCGATTACTCATTTACTTATGCATTGCAATTTCTCACATCATTGTTTAATTTTAAGACCCAATGTCCATTTTTCATTTATCCAGATGTTCACCTCGATGGTCATTCCCAAATTGCAATGTTTATAGCAACTCATGATTGTATATTCATTGCAATTCATGTGGACTTCCAACAATATTCATTGCAATTCCTCCACTCCAAAAAATGGAGATCTTATTGCTGTGTGAGTATGCCTGTACTTCATTGCTGTTGGGGTCAAAATAAACTGAGCTTCTAGTGTCGTTTTTAGAAGCATTACTGTAAAGGAGTGCAAGTTTCAAGTTTTTAACTAACTTGTGTACATCATGTAACTGTTTGAAATGCTGTATAAGTGAGGCAAGCTTTTGTATACAATCAAAAAAGAGTACGTGATAAAATTACAAAATATAATTTGTTTATTGATCTAACGTTGAAACTAATGATTGAGTACGATATTTTACCAGAATAATAATAATGATTGAGTATTTGAGTACGCCACAAAAATTGAAACATGCAGGTAAATCATTTACATGTGATCACCTTTGATGTAAAATTTACTATTCCTGGCATCCCTTCATGGTTTTATTTTTAGTTCAGCAAGATTTTAGCTCTAATCGAGCGGGACACTTTGATGTTATGGGGATGTTCAGAACTATAACTCCGCCGGAGAAGATAATTAATACATAAACCGTGTTTCCTAAAAAATGGATGCATGTTTCCTTATTCAACAAATAATATAGAGAAAGCCATTATGTATGACAAAGGATGGACCGGTCCCGGGTCGGGACTGGGTCTTGGTCGGGCTTAGGGCAGGCCTGGGTCTGGAAAATGGAGGCCCGGAACCGGACCGGCTATGTTCCGGGACCGGGTCGGTCCTATTTTTTTTTTTTTTGGGGGGGGGGGGGGGGGGGGGGTTTCTTATTAATTCTAACTCCCAACCCCCAAACCACCCAACCCAACCCGACTCTTAACCAAACCAGTCCAGAAAACCCCCCAAAAAAACCTTGGGCTCAGAGTCAGGCTCGGTCCTGGACCAACCGGGCCGGTACCAAGGGAGGTTCCGCTTGAGACCGCCCCCAAAACACCCCCACACAGTGGCTGTCCAGTCCGGTCTGGGTCCCGAGCCGGTCAGACCAGTCCCGGGCTGGGACGATTCCCGTGCCGGGTGGCCCGCACCGAGTCCAAGCCTAGTCAATGTTACCACTTACCAACTTGTACTTAAAATGAGAGAAACGAAATTAGTCAAGTACGTAAAACCTGATAATTATTGAGTCCAGAATTTTAAATTGTGTTATCAAAAACTAGTATTCAAAATCCTAGAATATGACTACTTTATAAAGGATGTGATAATTTCTTTTGAAACTATTTATTGGAACATTCATTATTCATATAGAATATCCCTTGATCGGTATAACCATACTTATACTCCATGAACATACTCATTCATGTTCAATCGTTCATGGATAATTAAAATATCGAGATAGGATTATTAAAATATATGTATACACGCCCATGCACACATAACAACACATTTCTTTGTATATAATGTACATGCATGTTTGTATTTATTTAGTGTTTATGTTGCTTTCTTGTTGTATCCTTTACGCCATCATATCTAGGGGTGGGCAAAAATACCGAAATATCGGTATACCGCACTTACCGTACCGAAAAATACCGGAAAATACCGAAATATTGGTATACCGTCATTTTCGGTACGGCATCATACCGTACCGGTCTATTTCGGTACGGTAACGGTACATGTTTTCAAATACCGCGGTATACCGGTATAATACCGTACCGACTCCCTACTCAACAATTACTTTTAATTCTAATATATTGTAGAAATCCATTACAATTTTGAAGCCCAAAATTAATATTTAAGTTGGTTACAAATACAAAAATACAAAAATAAAGGTCCAATTTCTCAAACCCACTATAACCTTATAGGCTTCTACTACGCTAACCTTAAATAACTAATGAGTAATGTACAAATGTCAAGAAACAAGTCCATCTTGTTCCAAGAGCTTGCAAGTCGTGATGGTTGGGCCGCTAAGTAGCTGACAAGTGAAGATATATACAACTATGTGACAAGTGTATCTACATAGGGATTCAGCGAGTCGAGACACACAACTTTGTCCGAAAGTCTTATTCAATTTTTAAAAAATTATGAATGATTTTATATCCATGTTGTTTGAATAGTTTTATTTATTTCTGTTAGAGATCACTATTGATTTAATTATATCTGTATTGTTCAAGTTATTTTAGGAGATTGTGTTACTTTTTAATATGTGGTATGTTGAACTGCTTAAATATACTAATAATAATTATTGTTCAATATTGAATTGACATCAATAGATTATTAATTGTATTTCGTAACATTTTAATAATAGATTTAATATGTCGCTAGTAATAACGATTTAGTATATTTCGTTAGTCTATGATAATTTTTTGTATTGGGAGACATGCACGGTAATTTACCGATACCGTACCGTTACCGAACTGAAACTTCGGTAAGGTAAAGGTATGCAAATTTTGCATACCGAAAGTTTTGGTATGGCAAAGGTATGAGAAAAAATTTAAGGTATACCGTACCGAACCACCCCTAATCATATCTAGTGATCAGTATAGAAAGAATGTATCTTTTCTTTGCAGGGAGTTATATTGTTGTTCCTTAAGCTTGATGACATTTCCATTATTTATATTTTATCCTACGCTGCCAATCTTTATCGATGGCATTTTTATTTATGATGGCATTACAAAAAAATTGTGTAAGCCAGTACGACACTATTAATTAGGTGCCGCCCAACCGCCTTACGAAGGCATGGAAAATTTTATTTGAATGATAATCATTTATATTAAGATGAGGTTTTTATGTTAGCGTGATAATTAGCTAGAGGGCCTGGCCCATTGTAATTAGTATTATTTTAATTAGTATTAGTTTGATGTATAGTCAATTTGGGCTAAGGGCTCATTATAGCATAGGCATACGTGTATAAATAGACTCATCGGCTGATTAATGAGATTAAGGGGAAGATTTACCCTAACATCTTTACACATATACGTACGTCTACTCTTTAGCATGGTATCAGAGCCAGGTTAACGCATAAATCGATCCCTTCTCTTCTCGGCCTTCATCCTACACCAGCGTGTACGGATCGGCAGCTATGGTGGATGTTACTTCACCGTATTACCTTAGCTCCGGTGATCAACCGGGAAATCTTATTACTCACATTATTTTTAAAGGGGATAATTATGTAGCTTGGTCTCGGGCTATACTATTATCCCTCAAAGCTCGCCGGAAGCATATGTTCGTGGACGGTACTCTCAAGAAACCCGAAGAACAAGCACAACAATCCAACTGGGAAACGTCTAATTCCATGGTGGTATCGTGGCTTCTCAGAAGTATGGAACCCTCGGTTGTGACTTCTATACCATTCCATGAGGAGGCCCGAGCTCTTTGGGTCTATTTGGAGAAAAGATATAGTGTGGCTAATGGTCCTAGACTACAACAGTTGAAAGCATCGATCTCAGCTTGTAAACAAACCAAAACCATGACAGTGGACGCCTATTATACGGCGCTGATGAGCTTATACGATGAACTTGATCGCCTAAAGCCGCTGCCGGCGTGTTCGTGTGGCCGATGCACTTGTAATGTTGTTGGAAAAATTGCTGAAGAACGGGCAGAGGAACGGTTTCATCAATTTCTAATCGGCATTGACGACGACGTATTCGGAACGGTGAGGTCCAATCTTCTTGCTCAAAATCCATTACCTACCATTGATCGTGCGCTGCAAGTTTTTCAACAAGAGGAGACCTCTAGAGCTTCAGTACGGGGCAAGCATTCTGTGGCAGATGTTCATGCGTTTGCTCTTCCAAACCCGCCTGACCGAACTCCCAAAGGGCGTGGGGACAAGGACAAAACTGAACGGACCCGGCCGGTGTGTACACACTGTCATCAAAAGGGCCATGAAATTACCTCTTGCTTCAAACTTCATGGCTATCCGGACTGGTGGGAGGATAGAAATCGGACTAAAGGAAATGCTACTGGAGGTGGACGTGGAGGTGTACGAACGCATGCAGTGACGCCGGCAGGTCCTTTGGCTCTTCCATCGACGAGCGATGCTTCTCCGGGACAGAATTTGGGTGCTCATGTACTGTCCAATTTAACTCAAGAGCAGGTGCAGGCTATTTTAAGTTTAATAAATGCTGATTCACGCTCGTCGGACCGGATGTCGGGTAAGTATTCATGTTTTAATTGGATCATCGATACCGGGGCTTCACAACATGTTACAGGTGATGCAACATGCCTTACTGAACCACGGCCGATCCTTGCCTATCCGGTTGGACTCCCGGATGGGCGTACGGTTAATGCAGTACTGACTGGCCGAGTTTTATTATCCAAAGAGCTAGTTCTTGATCAAGTTCTTTATGTGCCTGGACTTAATTGTCATCTTATCTCTGTGTCTCAGTTGACAGATCAGTCTAATTGCCTCGTTACCTTTACTAATAATTTTTGTGCTATACAGGACCTACACTCGAGGAACCTGATTGGAGCAGGTGAACGACGGGATGGGCTCTTTTATTTCAGAGGGGTACCGAATTTGCATGTTGTTCAGTCTTCAACTCTCTCTTCGTTCGAGCTGTGGCATCGTAGATTGGGGCATCCTTCTGATCGGGTCCTAAAATTATTACCTATTATTATTTCTAGCCCTCATCCGAAAGTTTTGAATAAAGCTTGTGAAATTTGTCCTCAAGCCAAACAAGTGCGTAATTGTTTTCCGACTAGTCATAATAAAGCAAGTAGGATACTTGAACTTGTTCATTGTGATTTATGGGGGCCGTATAAGACTCCATCAACGTGTGATGCTTGCTATTTTTTGACTATTGTGGATGATTTTTCTCGGGCTGTATGGGTGTATTTGTTGCGTGATAAGAAGGAAGTGCATCATTATTTTCTCTCATTTATTGCTATGGTTGAAAAACAGCACGAGGTTTCTATTAAAATTGTTCGTAGCGATAATGGGACTGAGTTTAAATGCATGGAATCTTATTTTGACACTCATGGCATTTTATTCCAAACTTCATGTGTTTATACACCCCAGCAGAATGGGAGAGTGGAGCGTAAACATAGACATATATTAAATGTTGCCCGGGCTTTGATGTTTCAAGCTAATTTACCTGTTTTTTTATGGGGTGAGTGTGTGCTTACTGCTGTGCATTTGATTAATCGTACCCCGTCCGGTATTTTGCATGGGAAGACTCCCTATGAGCTTTTACATGGTGTCTCCCCTAGCTTCTCTCATGTACGAGTTTTTGGCTGTCTATGTTATGCTCATAATGCCTATTCTCGTGGAAACAAGTTTTCTCCACGTAGTCGGCGTGGAGTATTTGTTGGATATCCTTCGGGTAAAAAGGGGTGGAAAATATATGATTGGATTACTGGCGAAATCTTTGTGTCACGTGACGTCATTTTTTATGAGGATGAATTCCCTTTTTCATCCT